TGGGCCGGCAAAGAAAGTAGAACCCGTATTGAAAAGGAATATTTCGATTCTCATTTTGGCCCCTTCTATCGGACCAATCAAGTTTTTATTAAGCCCATAAATGCATCAGGGGTAGGTTACTAGTTTGTAAGAGAGTTATGAAGCGGATTTTAAAATTTATTCTCTCTCTCTCACCAGTTTACCCATGCTACATCGGCCGGTGTTGTAGAATTTGGTCCTGCCTATGAAAAAAGTTTCCTCTTGGAAGTATTTAAGTTGCAGGAAGCCATTCAAGCAATTGGCAAGGAAGATGGTGTAGGTCTCGATAAAGTTTGTTACGCTCCTGTAATGTATCCTGGCGAAAAGCCCACTGTCGATAAATGTGTTGTCCAATCCATTTTTGGTTTCTTTCAAAATGATTTGGAATTTTTCGAAACGGAATATGAAGATGAAAATGGTTATATCATAAACTATTTGAATCATTTGGAAGACTGTTTGAAGTAAGTATTGAACGATTAAGTCAAGTTTTACTATCGAAAATCGGATTCAGTCTGGTTGAATACAAGTTTGCTTGAAGGAAGAATAGCAAATTTTCCAGCGGAAACCTTATTCAGCCAGGTCAAATAAAAGTTTTCCTAATGAAAAACTAATTCAACCAGGCCGAATAAAAGTTTTCCTAATGAAAACCTTGTTCAGCCGGTTCAGCCAGGCTGAATTGAAAATTACCTATTGGAAATTCTGTTCAGCCAGGCTGAATTGAAGTTTTCCTAATGAAAACCGTGTTCAGCCAAGCTGAATTGAAGTTTTCCTAATGAAAACCTTATTCAGCCAGACTGAATTGAAGGTTTCCTAGTGAAAACCTTATTCAGCCAGGCTGAATTGAAGATTTCCTAGTGAAAACCTTATTCAGCCAGGCTGAATTGAAGGTTTCCTTGTGAAAACCTTATTCAGCCAGGCTGAATTGAAGGTTTCCTAGTGAAAACCTTATTCAGCCAGGCTGAATTGAAGGTTTCCTAGTGAAAACCTTATTCAGCCAGGCTGAATTTAAGGTTTCCTAGTGAAAACCTTATTCAGCCAGGCTGAATTTAAGGTTTCCTAGTGAAAACCTTATTCAGCCAGGCTGAATTGAAGGTTTCCTATTGAAAACCTTATTCAGCCAGGCTGAATTGAAGGTTTCCTAAAAACCTTATTCAGCCAGGCTGAGGGTTTCCTAATGAAAACCTTATAAAGCCAGGCTGAATTGCACTTTCCTAATGAAAACCTTATTCAGCCAGGCTGAATTGAAGGTTTCCTAATGAAAACCAGACAGACCGAATTAAAAATTCCCTATTCGTTATCTTATTCAGCTTTACTATAATTAACCAATTTTTGTTTATTTTTCCAGCGTTCCCATGTTGGAGGCCTGCTTCGGACCCTATGGTGGTCCCATTGAACCCGGCATTTCCGTGGGTGGTATGCCCAAAGTAAGTGGCAATGAGGAGCCTAACTATTTGCTGGCCACCGGTTTGGTCTTAACTTTCCTGGGTAAAAATCAAAACAATGAAGATCTGCTGGCACCGAATCTGGAATGGGAAAAACGTTTTGTGGACTTTATGAAAAACTATAGCAACGACAAGCTTGATATTGCCTATTCTGCCGAACGTTCCATTCAAGATGCCATTGTTGAATTATCCGAAGGTGAAGTGTCCACTGTTGTGATCAGTTATTTGGTGATGTTTGTCTATGTGGCCATTGCTTTGGGTAAAATCCGCAGCTGTGTACATTTCTTCCGTGAATCGAAAATTGTCCTGGCCGTTGGGGGCATTATTATCGTATTGGCATCGGTGGCTTGCAGTCTGGGATTCTGGGGTTATTTGGATGTGGTCACCACAATGTTGGCCATCGAAGTTATTCCGTTCTTGGTATTGGCTGTTGGTGTGGACAACATCTTCATAATGGTCCATACCTATCAACGTTTGGATCGCAACAAATTTGATAGTGTAGCTGAGGGCATTGGTGAAGCTATGGGTCAGGTGGGACCATCGATATTGCAAACAGCTGGTTCGGAATTCGCCTGTTTTGCTATTGGTGCCATATCCGATATGCCTGCGGTAAAGACTTTTGCCATGTATGCTGCCGCTGCGATTTTCTTTAATTTCCTCTTCCAAATTACGGCATTTGTGTCGATGATGGCTTTGGACGAAAGACGTTATGAATCGGGTCGCATGGATCTGTTTTGCTGCTGTAAACCATCAAAACAATCTTTGGAACATCGAAATCATGAAGGTGTGGGTGTAATGCAAAAGTTGTTTACACATATCTATGCTCCTTTCCTGTTGACCAAGTGAGTGGGATATTTTTTCCGGTAGAAGAGGATTTTTAATTTAAAATCTTTTTTTCAGACCCGTAAAAATAATTGTCTGCATTGTGTTCTTTGTGGTCACAACCCTATCATTGCTGGTCACACCTAATTTGGAATTGGGTCTGGATCAGGAAATGTCTATGCCCAAGGAGTCTCACGTTGTCAAGTATTTCCGTTATATGGATGATTTATTGGCAATGGGTGCTCCTGTGTACTGGGTTCTTAAACCCGGACTAAACTATACCGATCGTGATCATCAGAATCTGATATGTGGTGGTGTGGAGTGTAATAATAATTCGCTGTCGGTGCAGTTATATACCCAATCTCGTTATCCTGATATGTAAGTATTGGATGCTCAAATTCCTGTGTTTAATTTCCATGGAGAATAGTTCTATGCAACTCCAAGCTTTAAGAAGTTATTATAGGTTTTCAAATATCCATAATGTTGGAGATGCCTTGTATACATACCTCATGGAACGTTATCTTACATTTCAACGTATTCCGCTGCATAGTTCTCATATCTCTATCTCTCGCGTGACGAATAATTTGAATTAAAATGTATTATTTATATATTTTTTTTTCAGAACATATTTGGCCCGTCCCGCCACATCATGGATTGATGATTATATTGATTGGTTGCGCATTGGAGATTGTTGTAAAGTGAACACCACCGATAATACGTTCTGTCCAAGTAGTAAGTATGATGATAAATATGATATGTTGTATATATATGAGGGCGATTAGGCCTCTTCTACCTATATAGAGGAACTATAAACAATGACAGAGCTGATCTTTTCCTAAAGAAACCCTAATACAGCCAGGCTGAATTGACGTTTCCGTAAAAAAAACCTAATTCAGCCAGGCTGAGTTGAAGTTTTTCTAAAGAAAATCTAATTCAGCCAGGCTGAATTGAAGTTTTTTCTAAAGAAAACCTAATTCAGCCAGGTTGTATCGAAGTTTTTCTAAAGAATACCTAATTCAGCAATGCTGAATTGAATTCAGCCAGGCTGAATTGAATTTTTCCTATAGAAAACTTAATTCAGCCAGGCTGAATTGAAGTTTACCTATAGAAAACCTTATTCAGCCAGGCTGAATTGAAGTTTACCTATAGAAAACCTAATTCAGCCAGGCTGAATTGAAGTTATCCTATAGAAAACCTAATTCAGCCAGGCTGAATTGAAGTTTTCCTATAGAAAACCTAATTCAGCCAGGCTGAATTGAAGTTTTCCTATAGAAAACCTAATTCAGCCAGGCTGAATTGAAGTTTTCCTATAGAAAACCTAATTCAGCTAGGCTGAATTGAAGTTTTCCTATAGAAAACCTAATTCAGCCAGGCTGAATTGAAGTTTTCCTAAAGAAAACCTAATTCAGCCAGTCTGAATTGAAGTTTTCCTATAGAAAACCTAATTCAGCCAGGCTGAATTGAAGTTTTCCTATAGAAAACCTAATTCATCCAGGCTGAATTGAAGTTTTTTTTATAGAAAACCTAATTCAGCCAGTCCAACTTTCCCCTTGATTTTAATATTTTCTAATACCATTATTTTCTTCTTCTTTTTCTTTATAGATTCCAAAGAATACGAATGTATACCCTGTCCACGAACATTTATGGATGATGGTCTGAGACCCACAGATGAAACCTTTAACAAATATTTACCTTACTTCTTATCCGATTTGCCAGATGCTGAATGTGCCAAGGCTGGTAGAGCTTCATATGCGGATGTAAGTAGCCTCAAATGTAGCAAATAGATTTTCCTTCCTTATAATAAGCTCTTTATTATTTGCTCTCCCCGACAGGCCGTGGTTTATACTCTCGATAATGAAGGCAGCAGTACAATATTGGATACCTATTTCATGCAGTATTCCACCACCTCTACAACTTCGGTGCAATTCTATTCGGCACTGCGTGAAGCCAGACGTGTGACGGATGAGATTAATGCTATGTTCAAGGACAACAATGTGGATGCCTCCGTATTCCCCTATTGTGTATTCTTCATATTCTACGAACAATATCTAACAATATGGGATGATGCGATCTTCTCGCTGGGTATTTCCTTGTTGGCCATATTCTTGGTTACCTTCCTTATAACGGGCTTTGATATTATATCCGCCGGAATGGTATTGTTTATGGTCGTGCTGATTTTGATAAATATGTGCGGTATGATGTGGGCCTGGAACATAACCTTAAATGCCATTTCGTTGGTTAATCTTGTGGTATCCGTGGGTATTGGTGTAGAATTTGTGTCGCACGTAATTAGGTCATATAAAAATGCCACTGGTACGAAACAGGAACGGGCACGTCACTCCCTTTCGGTGACTGGTAGTAGTGTCCTGTCCGGTATTACTTTAACCAAATTCGCCGGTATTATTGTTTTGGGTTTCTCAAACTCACAAGTTTTCGAAGTTTTCTATTTCCGCATGTATTTGGGCATTGTTCTTATCGGAGCAGCACATGGCTTAATATTGTTACCTGTGCTATTAAGTTTCTTTGGTCCCCGAAATAAATTATATCGTGAACCATCGGAATATAGTTTAAATAATTATAATTTAGATAAATAAGAAAAAAAAAAACAGATTATTTATAAAAAAATATCTTAGTTATATAAGTTAATTATAGTTATAGCTTTTTTATACGAATAAATTGAATGCGAAACATAAAAACTGGTAGTTGTTGTTGTTTTCTTTATTGTAAATGAAATCGAAGACCATTAAAGCCAGGTCTCTCGGTCACCTTATCGCTTTGCAGTATCTCTCCGTAAATGGTAAGGCAACACCGTTGTTTGGGCGCGTTAATAAAATTCAATTCTTTAAGTAATTTTGTGTCCTGCAGGCTACTGGGCATCCATCCATAAACACTGTTTTCTGTTTGATGTCTTTCCGGACAGGGTCGATCTATGAAATTACGATATTCTCGTTCATTCGAGGGCTCTTTTTGTTCATGATGAGCATAAAATTTGGCTGTTATGTGATGTACTGTGAGGGGAGAAAAGAGATAGAGAGAAGACAGCAATAAGGATAACATTATTTTTTATACTTTAGAAAGCTTTAACAGGACCTTGTGAGAATCTTCTATAAAAATAACATCGTATTTTTTACAAGGCGTGGATTTATTAACAAATATTTTTTCAAGGACCTTACCATACAAGGCGTGGATTTATTAAAAATATTTTTTTCAAGGACCTTACCCTACAAGGCGTGGATTTATTAAAAATATTTTTTCAAGGACCTTACCCTACAAGGCGTGGATTTATTAAAAATATTTTTTCAAGGACCTTACCCTACAAGGCGTGGATTTATTAAAAATATTTTTTCAAGGACCTTACCCTACAAGGCGTGGATTTATTAAAAATATTTTTTCAAGGACCTTACCCTACAAGGCGTGGATTTATTAAAAATATTTTTTCAAGGACCTTACCCTACAAGGCGTGGATTTATTAAAAATATTTTTTCAAGGACCTTACCCTACAAGGCGTGGATTTATTAAAAATATTTTTTCAAGGACCTTACCCTACAAGGCGTGGATTTATTAAAAATATTTTTTCAAGGACCTTACCTTACAAGGCGTTGATTTTTTAAAAACCTTTTTTAAGGACTTTACTTTACAAGGCGTGGATTTATTAAAAATATTTTTTAAGGACCTTACCTTAAAATACATATTATAAAATACAAATTATAAACCATACTCACCCTTCCTCGATGGAACAAAATCATCCACAACGTAAATATGTTTATTGGCCCGATTTATCAGCTCCTTCTCAAATAAATATGGCATGGGACGAGGTTCCTTTATACCACACGGCACAATGATCTCCTCCTTCGCTTCATTACTTTGTTTTGTACTTGATTTTCCAGTTTTTGGACTTGAATTTGAAGACATTTTAGAGTTGTTGTTCCCACAACCGCAATTCCTACCATTTATGTGTAACGTTAATCAACAACTGGAAACCACAAAATGTTGTAAATAATCAAAAAAAAAAACCCCGAAGTAAAACAAATAAACGGAGAACTAGTCGACAAGTTTACTACTCTGAATTTTTATGTATGTACATAGATTTGGTTATTATGTTTATCATTGATTTAATTTTATGTTCATGCCTACAATCATGATTATTATTGTCATAACTTTATATTTAACTCATACCTACCTAACTTACATCAGAACCTACCACAAAATTACTTCCATACCGCTAGGGATGTCAAACGGGGCGAAGTAATTTTTAAGGATTTTTTATAAGAACAAAATCCAAAAGTCTATAAAAGAAAATTAAAAACAATATATTTATTAATTTCTTTTTTAAACTAAAACATGAGTTTAAAAATAAAAAATGAATAAAAAATTCTGAATCGTCATCCCAATTTCCTCCAATATCAAAATTTTAGGACTTTGGAGAAAGTGTTGTTTTCTGTGGTGGGGTAAGGGGTTCGACAAGAAAAATTCATGTAAAACACGCACTTTCAGTCCGTGACAACAAAACAACTGTCATTCTTGTACATACCGGTTGAGATTTGCCAAAGGACCTACTTCCCTAAATGACAACAACAACAACATCAAAAAATTGCAAACTATTTGTTTTATGATATTTGTTGCTTCTATTTTTGGTAGGGAAGGTAATGAACCACAAAAACTTTTTTTCAATACACCAAAGTTTTTTTTTTTAATTGCGCTTTTCTCTTATCACAAACTTTTTGGAAACTTACTTATGTACATAAGCTTCGATGGAGATAAGGATGTAACGAAAATAGTAGTTAGGAATTTCATAATAATCTCATAATTTTATTTTATAGACCTACTAGTGTCCGCTACTTCGTATGCGGAAGGGGAATACAAAACAAATAAATAATATTTTATATAAAAATCGTGAATATTGTATATTTTTTTGGTACTATAATTCCGAATTCCAGCACTTTCCGAACACATAAGTACACATTTTCAATACTACGTTCATATATTAGGTAGGGGAAAAAGAAATCCATTATTTTTCGCTAGATGGCCTTACTGATAGATTTCTTGTAAGGTTCGATCAAACAATTTCAGATTTATGCTCTTTGGAAGGGTGAAAAATTATTTTGCTGCTTTTTTGTGCTTTCCGCTGTGAGTTACAGGGTGTTAAAAATGGAACTGAACAAAGTGAAAATTCGGTACATTTTACAGTTTTTCTTTGACAAAAGCGAAATGCAAGCAAAGCTGCCAAAATTGTGAATAACGTTTATGGTTGCCATATTGTTACAGCCAATTATGTGCGCAGGTAGGTCGATCATCGAAAAAGTCGGTAAAATCGGATATATGGTCGAAGTTGACCGGCATGTTAACAGTCGACCAAGAGCTAAAAATTTACCATAAAACTGTTTTAAACCATTTCAATTGATCAAAAACGGCCACAATTGGCAAACAGGAGAGGTGTCGTGTTCCGCCAGGACAACAGGACTTCTATGAGAGAGCCATTATGAAGTTACCATTAAAATGACAACAACTCATATAACAAAACGGTTCATATTTGGCCCAAATCGGACATTCCGAAGCATGTTACTTCGTATAAAAATAATGTATTTATTTTCCCCCTACAAACCGTACTTCTAATTTCACTAAATTTAGTACCATTTGTTACACATTATTATGAATTATCAAAATTACCTCCATTTGTCAATTCTACATTCAAACAATAATTTCAATCCCACATTCCAGAATTACAGCCCCATCAGTTTACCCAAAAACAAATTGTACAATATTTGGTACCATTTAGACACTTTTTATTATTCCCTAAATCCTACACTCCTGTCATTCCCACATTCAAACAGTAATTTTAATACCACATTTAAGAATTCCAGCCCTATCAGTTCACCCATTATATTAATTGTACAATATTTGGTACCATTTAGTTCTTTTTATTCCCATAAGTACGAATTAACTACCTCAACCCTACACCCCTGTCAATCCTACATTCAAACAGTAATATTAATTCCACATTTAAGAATTCCAGCCCTATTAGTTCACCCAAAAATAAATTGTACAATATTTGGTACTATTTAGTACTTTTTATTCCTATAAGTACGAATTAATTAACTATCCCACACTCCAAAAGTCATTTTAATTTCAAAATTAAGGATTCTATTTCTATCCATTTACCCAGAAACAAATTGTATTATAGCGTACTATTTAGTACCTATAAGTACAAAATTATCTTAATCCTACATTCTAACAGTAATCTAAATTCCAAATTTCAGGATTCCAACTCTATTCTATCACCTTAATTCAAGTGGTACCAAATTTAGTACCATTAGTAGGGGAGAGGGGGGCACCTTTGAACGTGGGGCAGCTTTGAACAGCGCTCATAAAATCTTGGTTTAATATTTTTCCGACCCGCAACCACATTTTTGTATATGGCAATCTTGTTCTCTATATGCGTAAACCACTTTGGCTTGCTTTTTCAGTTGTCGAAAAATTGTGCATGGGTGACCATGTTTTCTCAGTGTAATTGTAAACTTTTATTCATTTGGTTGTAAGGGCGCAGGAAGAATTCTGTGATAGTTTTCTTTCGTCAAACAAATTTTTTGCATTCCAACAATCATTTCAAACATAACTAATGTAATTTCTTTCATATATATTTATTATAAAAAAAGTTATTTTAAATTTCCGTAAAATGTCATGGGTGGGGCACCTTTGAACATGCCCATTAAACTCGAGTAAAAAAAAGAGTTTTTAATTTTTGGCTTCGATTTCTCAAAATTCCAAATGGGCTAATATGATTACGAAATTAACTGTATTTTTCACCATATTAATTTTTGTTTTTAAGTCATTTTATGTTTTAATAATTTTTGATCTATTTTTTTTAAATTTTGAACATTTTTTATATATTTTTTAATGAATTAATGCATTTCTGATATGTATGAATAAAATACATACATATTTGAACATAAACACTGTAAAAAACCATGTCGTTCAAAAATGCCAACTCCTGTTCAAAGCTGCCCCCCTGGGGGGGCAGTTTTGAACACTTTGAGTTCGTCCATTAAAACAGTAATAAAATATATTTATCAAGCTTGTAGTATGTCATATGTATACTCATTTTAAAGGTTACATATGTACCTATTAGTTAAAATTTATAAGAAACCAAAAATTATAAAATAAAAAATTTTATAAGGCTTGAAAGCAAAAAGTGTTCAAAGGTGCCCCCCTCTCCCCTACATATAAGTACCAAGCATTCTATAAATTCCAATTCTACACTTCAACAGTGATCTTAATTCTAATTTCAGGACTCCAACTCTATCGGTTCATCCAAATCCAAAATGTACCAAATTTAGTGCACATAAGTACGAATTTCCAAAAATACCCACATACCTCAATTCTACAATTTCCAGATTTCAGCTCTATAGGTTCACCCAAATCCAAAATGTACCAAATATGCTTCCAAAGATTAAAACACCGACAAAGTGAATGGACCCTTATTCATATTGGCCCTCACATACCAATCCTTCCATACCAATCTTCATGGCGTAAATATTTATCAATTGCCTGCCAGGCTGAATGGAACATGCCCAGTAGCTCTGGCCTTTGCAATAATATTGCCCCCTTGACCATATATTCAAAAAGTGAATTCAGGATTCCAACTCTATCGGTTCACCCAAATCCAGATTGTACCAAATATAGTACACATAAGTACGAATTAACAAAAATACCCACATACCTCAATTCTACAATTTACACATTTCAGTCTTTCAGCTCTATAGGTTCACTCGAAACCAAAATATACGACAATTGTACCATTTAGTACTAATCGTACACAAAAATACAAATTTCCAAAGCTACACATATATTCCAATGCTACGACGTTAAGTTCACTACTCCAACTCTATCGGTGCATCCAAATCCAAAATGTACCAAATTTAGTACACATAAGTACGAATTTCCAAAAGTACCCGCATACCTCAATTCTACCATTTCCAAATTTCAGCTCTATAGGTGCACTCAAATCCAAAATGTACCAAATATAGTACCATTAAGTACTTTTCGCACACAAAAATACAACTTTCCAAAGCTACACACATATTCCAGCTTCATCCGTTCCTCCATATTGAAACTGTACCGAAATTAGTACTTTTCGTATACTCGCATTCACATGCTTCGAAATTGTAACAAATTCAGTACATTTTAGCACTTTTCGGATATTTTTAGTTCGAATTTCCAAATAACCTTTTGGTACACCTATCCTATTCTCCATCAGTGACCTCATACAAATTTAAGAGTTCTTGCTCTACCGGTTCGCAAATAAAAATGGTAACATAATTAAAAATTGTCAGTTTTTTTTCGTTCCGTTCTGATACGAGTTTCAAAAAACCAGTCTTATAGTTTGTTAGTCTCAATTTAGATTAGGCGAGTTTACTTGCGACAAGTATTTGAAAAAAAATTCTCGTACCGGCATTTTTTGGCAAGGTTTATTCAGAACATTGTCAAAAATATGAAAACATAAAGTATGTTCAAAAGAGACCGATAAGAATTGCTGCAAGTAAACTCGCCTAATCTAAATCAGGACTTAGGAATAAAACAATTGTATTAATATCAATTATTTATTTTTTACATTATTCAAATCACTCAATCACGGTATGGTCAACGTAACGTACACAACACAATATTTTTTGGTGGAATGATGATTGTTATTTTTCGATTATTCTTTTTCCATTACTTGTTTGGGGTTTTGATTATTTACAATTTTTTTTGTTATTTTCAATTCTCTTGGCCACTTGTTGCACACGCACACATTAGTTCATCATTTTAACAGTAGTTAGATTAACAAACAGTCTTTGATGTACATATAAAAAATAAATACATATTTCATTTTAGAAAATACAATGTCAAGCAGTCAGTATAGTACGATTACGGGT